CGTGGCCGATCTCTCGTGAAATTAACTCTTTCCGGTTATGGCTGTTCTATGCGACGAGCGCCATGGCGATTTGGGAGAATTGTCCAACGGCAATGATGTATTTTTTTAACATTATGCCAGTCAGCGATGAATATCGATCTCGAACAGAACCCACAGTGAGGGACTAGCTACTCTGGTGACCATTGAATGACGTCACTGAAGGTGTTCACTGCGCGTTATAGTGTAATTATAACCGTGACACGCACACGCACGCACACATGACACGCACGAACACACGACGACATACACGCAACGAAACACACACACACACACAAGCACGAACACACACACACACACACACGATAAAGCACAAACACACACACACAACACACACACACACACACACACAGACACAGCACCGTACACACACACACAACACACCACACAGCAGCGACACGACACAGCACACGATCACACACACACTAGCACCACACGATTGATGAGAGAGAGAGAAGAGAGAGAGATAGAGAGAGAGATGAGAAAGAAAGCGCAGAGAAGAGGATCTAGGAGAGGAGCAGAGAAAGAGGAAAGCAGCCTCTCACTACTGCTGTTTGGTTGGGTTCTTGTAAGGCATAAGAGCAAGAGGAGAAAAAAGACAAGAAAGACGAGAGAGAGAGAGAGATAGGAGAGAGAGAAAGACGGCGAGGAGAGAAAGAGAAGAGAGAGAGAGAGAGAGAGAGAGAGAGAGAGAGAGCGGGAGTTGGGATACATAGCAATATATATATATATTTATCTCTCTCATCTCTCAGTGGACATGGATTACGATAATACACAAACATAATACAACAAGCGAATGTTTACTATTCGTCCAAAACATTTTATTGCTTGAATTTGGTGACTAACGGCCAATTACCACAAGCGACACGTGCGTTACTCTGGCTAACAGTTCGCAGCCTCCCTCCACAGCTTGAGCAATGTACACATCAACATACACACGCTAACACAATTTTATTTCGATCAATCGCTTAATCGTAATTAAAAATATTTTTGGACGTAACGCAGTGGACGGCTAATTATCCAATTGAGATATTATGAGCATTATTGAGAAAATGAAACGATGAATCTTTTAAGACGTTAAGTTAAGTAATGCCAAAGTGTGCGTAGAAAATTCGTATTGTAAAATCATATGCTACAGTGGAACGCGCAATAACGCCGTTTAAAAATTCCTTTCACTATGTACGATGCGTTAAATATCTATTAAATATACATCGAATTTGAAATAAATAAATATACCTATACCTGTATCGATTTTCTGTCACGTGTAGTCACAGTTTTTTAAAATCCTTTTATGGTGCATCGTTAGATCACACTATAGTTATGTGTGTCAGTCAGTTTGTGCGCATATATACCCGCGTACGGATGTGAATTGCTTTACGTACATGTGCATGCGTGAAATGAAAATCACGCGTACGTATGTGTGTGTATTGGGAATGTGGGTGGTTGAGCACCCGTGCACCGCATTTAAGCGCACGTAACATCACGAGTAAATCATACGAATAACTAGAGCACTCGGAGAGCGCAGACCTCCGCAAAGGCAGCTGAATTCTCTCACTGTGAAATTTTTTATTAATTTATTAATTAATTAATTAATTAATTAATTGAATCCGGATCACCACCAAAATGTAATCAATTCTAAGTTAGCCCATTTCTGACGTATCCTGAAAATTTTATGACAATCCATCCATAACTTTTCCAGTTAGGCTGTACACAAACCCACAAACCCACAAACACACAAACCAACAAACACACGCCGGTGAAAACATAACCTCCGCCAAGCCCCTGGCGGAGGTAATAAGGACGATGGGGAATAATAAATTCGTATTACTTCACCCCTCCCTCACACACACACTGGTGACATTTGTTTCTATGGCTTCATAATAATGTGCGGTGCTAGCAGCTTGGCGGGACAGCGCGTGCACGGCAAAAAAAATCAATGCAGAAACCCATCGCTTCATCGCGTGTAAGCTCACTCTTTTCACATGATTTCCCATTAAAGTTTGGTAATTGCATAAAAGCGTCTCGGGCGCGCCCATGCGCGAGGATCCCACAAGGTTGTTTGCGAATAATAATATTATATGTACGTACCGGCACGCGATGCCGCGTGAGACCGAACACTTATACACACACACGCACGCACGCACGCACGCACGCACGCACACACACACACACACACACATACACACACATGCACACATATATAATATAGGTATTATTAGCTCTTGATATATATAATATATATATATATATATATATATATATATATATATAGATACATACATTCATACATATGATACATACATACACGCACGCACGCAGCGCAACGCACGCACGGCACGCACGCACGCCACGCCACGCACGCCACGCACGCGACGCCACCCGCACGCACGCACGCACACACACACACACAGCACACACATACATAACATAACATACATACACAGTACGAATACATACACATATATACATACATACATACATATATATATTATCATATATATATATATATATATATACACGCTGTGCGTGTTGCCGCTCTGCAACACCTCACGTCGCGTTCTTACGTCACGATTGTTCTTTGGTCGGCTTCATTACCATAATTAAATGTCTCTAATTACCATAGCCAAAAATATCGACGACTAAATGTCAACCGTTAGCGACACATTTGCGGTTAAAGCATGCAAGTCATCAAGGCATCAGGTGACGCGGTGCCGCTTATAGCAGCTAGAGTTCTAAACACGTTGACTCATTTAGCGCGAAAATAATTATTCGACATTACAATATAACACTTCACATGAAAATATTCTACATTACAATATATAACACTGCACATGAAAAGATTAGTGGTTAAATCACCCCTCCCTCCCCCCCCCCCCCAAATTGGTGGGTTACGTTTTACTGATTTGCTACGAAGGCAGGTTTTGAAGGGAATTATCGCTCGGATGATGATCTACCTCATGATGACGATGACGATACCAGCGACAGCGTCACTGCAGCGATGCACAAGGTCAAGGCTGCCGACATTTGAAAGGCGACGCCGGCACCTCCGTCGACCTCGTCCCAGTCGTTGACGACTCTGATCTTCCATCCGAGGAACCTGTGTTGGTAGCACTGCAATGAAGAAGATGAACTGGTTTAGACTTCGACGACACTCGGCGATTTTCCGCCACACCATTAGACTGACTCCAGACGTCCCTGTGGCTGCGCTCCACACTCAATATCCAACAAAAAGGCCACAAAGATGGCCAACAGAGACTTATGGAACCAATCTACCTGCTCTCAGCATTGTCTCTCAATCACTGATATAACAGCAATACAAACAACAACAAAATATTAAATATAGCAGTAATAATAATAATAATAATAATAATAATATTATTATTATAATACATAACAACAATTGTATATCAATATATAATACAAAATAATAGTGAACTTGTATCCTTGTACACGAGTATAATTCCACTAAAGCTAGGCATATACCTAGAATCTCTAAATCTGTAGCTAGGGTATATGCGACGTATAATCGCAGCCAATAGTACTGCGCACCATCGCATATACGCGCGTATATGTACAGCTAACGCGTGGTTTCAGCGCGTTCACCCACAAAACTTCCACATCGAATTTTGATTTAGCTAAGCCGACAAGAACAGTGGCGCCGTGGCGTGTCGAGTGAAGACGACAAACGAAGTATGGGGGCGCGTTTGTTTGGACCGAATCCGTCTGATTCTGATCTCCCCCAAACAAAGGCAAACTCACTTCCAACGGTTCAACAGTTCGTTGTTTCGCTGTGACCTATCATGGTTCGCAGCAAGCTGTGATTGGCTGGGTCACACGCCGCCATATTCGATCACCCTGCGAATCCACCACGCAAGCAAGTTCAGGAATTTCCGATCCGCACCACTGATCAACCCAAACAAAGCGCGCAGGATCATTGATCCGTATGATCTGGATCACAATTTTCTGAACCTGCTTGCGAGGTGGATTCGCAGGCTGATCGAATACGGCGGCGTGCGACTCATGCAGCGAATCACAGCTTGTTGTGAACCATCTAAGCTGACAAACCCGCGCGTACCTGATAGTAGATCGTGTTCGGTGTGTCATTGGTCGGGGCGAACTTGAAGAGGCCGCTGCGTTTCGGCTGCGTACACGCCTGCTGCAGGCTGGCGGACTTGTACGCCTCGAACGTGTCGTACAGGTCCGGCCCTCGCTCACTGCTCGCCTTCCACTCACAGAGAGTTCCCGCTGCGGGAGTATATTCGTGTCAGTTCTCATTTATATATATCAGAAGTAGATAATAGGGATGATGTGACTATATCAGGAGTAAGATAATATAGGATCTATATTAGGACCTATATTATCTTACTCCTGATTATATTATGTGAATATTAAAATTATTTTATTATTTTGTGAATAGTAGATAATGTGTTTCCTATTATCTACTTCTGATATATATATATATATATATATATATAGGCCTATTTTATACGGAACACATGCAAGGCCGCGTGTAGTAGACCTCCGATAGATCACGTGATGTTAAGACGAGAGAATTTGGTCGGCAAATAAAAATTTGGTTGGATGGATGGATGGATACATGCATGCATGCATGGATGGATGGATGGATGGATGGATGGATGGATGGACGGACGGATGGATGGATGGATGGATGGATTGATGGATGGTAGATGGATGGATGGATGATCTAAACTTACTTGCGGATTTCACCGGCTCTCCATTTTCGATTCCGTAAATGACGTTTATTTTCTGTGAGAAAAATCGAAAGACAGAAAGAAAATGTCAGCACATCACAGTCCATGACTCACACAAGATGTCAGTAGCTGGTCTCATAATTTTACAAATTAGACTTTTGTCAATTTGTGGGTATTCTTTTAGCCAACAACTATGGCTGCCAATTGGAAAATCTTTTACCCGCGCGGTGCCCGTCAGGCGGCAGCGAAATA